GTGCGACCTGTTTTTTTTTTTTTTTCCTAAAAACGTGGTAAAATCGGTCTTCCCTGCCGTTATATTGGTTCATATTAGCTGTCAATCACTCAAGACTTTCCACTGTCAGATGACAGGGAGGGAGCTTTTGTGACCGCGGGGAATGCAAACGGCTGACGAGTGAAAAGTACACTGAATCTCGATGCGTTGCATGCACTGCGTGTTCAGCCAACACAATCTCACGGCAATTCGTAACATTTTCATACATTTCCTCGTGATATCAGGCTGCAACAGCGCTGATGTCCGCTATAACACCATCGCCAAAGAAGCTTGCCTTTACTGCGTTTAAACTGATGCGGGTTATAACAAAGAAAGAATAGTATTGCTTTGGTGGTCATCGGGAGAATCCTGCTCTGCCCCTCTCATATATTGGGTCTTTCCTTTGCAAACACAGAAAGATGCAATTCAGCGCGTAACGAGGCTGAGCATTAAAACGACACGAACCGAAACCAAAACTTTTAAAGGTTCAGGACACCCTGGATAACTTTTTTTTATATATTAACAGATTTGCGTGTGTTGAGCATCAGTTGAGACAATGTTAGCACCTGTCAGCTTTAATTGTGGGCAAAACTGGATAATTTTGAGCTTTTGTCTGCTAATTTCAGCTTCCGGTTTTAAAATGATTTTTGGGGCGGGATCAAAATCGGCGACGCAGCGCAGTACTGCAAGTGCAATGATGACGCGTCGGTTTCTCATTATTATTCATATCGGAGTTTTCTTATCCTATAAGAAGAGCCGGCTGCTTAATTATTCATGAGACCTGCCAGACCTGCCAGAGTCAAGCCCGAGCTGTGTCACGGACCCACGGGCACACAGTATTTAGCCGTTCATGAAGGCTCATATGCGTTTGTTTCCATGATCTATGCGGTTTGTTGCATGTTTTCCCCCGCGATCTTGTCAGGGCCGATCATACAGCAAAGCTGTGTGCGTGCTGCTAGCATTTTTGTCGGGAGAGCAGCACGAGAATTAGAGAATGGCGGACGCTGACTTTCATCAGGAGTTCGTTTACATTCAGACACATCGCCGTGCTGCTGTGTTTGCCTAAATCCTCCAGATTACAAGCAGGGCTAATGGTTAAAATAGACAGGTCAGGAGACCTGCTGCACTGAGTCTGCTGGATAAGGGGATTGAGGGAGAAGTCCCCATTTATACGGTTTACATGAACACACTTATCTTTATAATTATATATTGTGGTTATGTGTATATGAAATTACGAATAACAAATGTAGCAGGGCATTAAATCACTGTTAATTTCTTTGCATTTTAACTTTGTAAACTATAAACTCATGCGTCTCCTCACGGTTTGTCTAATTTTGTGAGCTAGCTTCATTCGCTCCCCTTCTCCCCTGCTGGCCACGCCCACTCCTGCCCGATGCTCGCGGAGCTCCACGCCCATTAATCATGCATCTTTTGAAAAAATTCTGAAGTAGACTTTAACTGAAAGTGGGGGGAGTCATGGCCCTTTAAAAGTGAGACTTTTCTTCCTTTCTTTTGTCTATTCTATCTTGAGGTGTATATTATTCTTCTATTTAATTACTGATGACTGCTTTGCAGCTTTCAGCATTGAATTGAATGATTTATTATATTATTTTGTTTGTTTTGTAGCAGAACTATTATTTGTTAAATTGACATGCATATAAAACAATAGTACAAAATAAATATTTCTTACTACAATGCTTCATTTGTGTTTGATGCAAACCATCAATTTATTTTTCATAAATTAACAGTAGGACTTTATATAGCAGATAACTTACATTAAAGCACATTCAGAGCAGCATGATGATGAGAAATATAATTCATTATTAGTATTATTGTCATCATCATCATCATCATTAATATTTTATAATTATTCAACATTCATTTTGGAATTATTGCACAAATATTAAGTCATCACAGCATTAGTTAGATAGTTGTTTCTGTGTTTTTTTAGTCCCAATTGATGTTTGATTGTGTTTTCAAATACAATAAATCCCTTAATATACAACTTGACAAATATATCATTCATTTTTGGTGGGTGCTCCTAATTTTTTTCTGGTGCTCCTAAATATTTCAGGTTGGGAGCACCGGTGCTACCAAGTAAGAAAGTTCATTTCGAGCCCTGCAATATCATACTTTAAATTTTAGTTCATGTGTAATAAAGATTTGTCAACATAAACATCATCTCTGAATGTAATAGGCTCAAATTGTTGTATTGGACCCAAGAAATGGAGGAAAAACTAGTGTAAATTTGGCAGGAGCACCCTTGTCTGTTTGAGGTGTCATGGGAGTAATATCACAACCGGGTCAAAAAAGAAAAAAAGTTGAGGAGAAATTGATAATTCCCTTCAAACTCAGGTGAGCAAAAATGTACATTTCTATCCCATTAAAGGCTTCTTTCTCATTATGTAGTTAATAGCAAAAGTCATACTACGTGTTTTTGGTTGCGAGACGTAGTTTGGACTAAGTTGTCAGCGATTGACGCCGATCCATCTTGCAGTGTAAACAAAGCAGTGACAAAATGCTCGCCCAGATAGTCATACAGTGTGAAAACATCTGTGACACGACTTCTTTAAAAATCATGCAGTCTGAACTCAACATTTCCACATCTCTAGCCACACTGAAAGTAAATATAAAAAAATAAAGAATTCTTAGCCCAATCTAACTGTAAGCAAAAGAAAGCAGGTGAAAAACATTGTGTGCGATAATGATATGATAATCTGTTCAAAGCGAAAACAACTGCTGCTGCTTACAAAAGACATTTCAAAAATATCTTGAGCTCTTGAGAGCAACAGGAGTGTAGACGCATGAGCATCTTTTTTATCCAGTCTATTTCAAATAGAACCGATCGCACCAGTTGCGTTCCCCTGCACAGATGCTTTGCGCAAGCAACCAATTCTTTTTGAAACTTTTGAACACTCATGCGCTTAACAACACTGAAGCTCTCGTCAGTGATTGAGCATTGTCTGTATCTTGCCATTTGGTATACAGTAGAAGTCAGAATTATTAGCCCCCCTTTCAATTTTTTTCTTTTTTAAATATTTCCTAAATGATGTTTAACCGAGCAAGGACATTTTCACAGTACATCTGATATAATTTTTTCTTCTGGAGAAAGTCTTATTTGTTTTATTTCAGCAAGAATAAAAGCAGTCTTTAATTTTTAAACACAATTTTAAGGACAAAATTATTAGCCCCTTTAAGCTAATTTTTTCTGATAGTCTACAGAACAAACCATCGTTATACAATAACTTGCCTAATTACCCTAACCTGCCTAGTTAACCTAATTAACCTAGTTAAGCCTTTAAATGTCACTTTAAGCTGTATAGAAGTGTCTTGAAAAATATCTAGTAAAATATTATTTACTGTCATCATGGCAAAGATAAAATAACTCAGTTATTAGAAATGAGTTATTAAAACTATTATGTTTAGAAATGTGTTGAGAAAATCTTCTCTTTGTAAACCAGAAATTGGGGAAAAAAATAAACAGTCAGCTGATAATTCAGGGAGGCTAATATTTCTGACTTCAACTGTATAAAGCCAGCAGCTTACCTGCTTTCTTTTGCTTGTATTTTTTTTTTTGTCATATCTCATAGTGGCCATTAAGTCTGCTTTTTAAGAAGACTACAATTTAAAAATTCATTTTAAATTGGCTAGTGAGAGTGACTGTCTAACCTGTGCCACAAACCCATTAGGCGGGTTGACAATGTTAATTTCAAGCCCTGCTCGTACATACAATCTGACCATGTCTATTTTCAAAATGCAAATTATTTCTTTCCTCTACAAATGGATTTACTTCATTTAATTTGTTGTTTTTATACTCATCTCATTCCATTGCAATTTCTCCTTAATATACAAATTCAAAGCAGTTTGACATCTGACACAAGAATTTTTAATTCTGTTATCTCATCCATATTGGCCTTTCCATTATGTTTCAGAAAAAGATCTCTCCAACCACACTACATGAACAAAATGAATGTCAGAAGCTAAAAGTTGCTATAAAATTATAATGCACAATGGCAGCCTGTGCACTTATTAAATCAAACACATTATAATGGGATATCGTTATGTACAACTTGTACTATACTGAGCATTTATATTGCCTTTTACCCAAAACTCTAAATTCGGCATCTTCACCGGTGTGGGCGTCGAGTAGGGCTGCTCGATTATGCGAAAAATCATAATCACGATTATTTTGGTCATAATTGTAATCACGATTATTTAAACAATTATCAGTTGAAGTCAAAATTATTAGCGCTCATGTGATTTTTTTTCTTTTTTAAATATTTCCCAAATAATGTTTAAAACAAAGCAAGGAATTTTTCACAGTATTTCCTATAATATTTTTTCTTCTGAAGAAAGAAAACGACCAAAAAAATTCTATGCATTTCTATATAAATGAAAACAATCTGCCATTTTAAAATAAAAACATACAGAATGTGCTTTCTGATGTCTCTGTTTCTTTGAACTTGAACGCGTGTTACAAAAATAAAACAAACTGATCAAGGCTTGAGGAATCAGGAAAGCATGTGCAAATATTAAAAGCCCATCAGGGAGCGAATGTGTGCAGCAGTTTTAGTCTGTCAATATTGATACTCAACCCCAAAATTTACAAACTAAAACAGGCTCTGCAGCATTTCCAAAAATCTCCACGTTCAAGCGTCAAAAACTCCATAGTGAGGATGTCAGGCAAACCCGTAGTAAAAGTTATGCGTTTCAAAACACAAATGCACTAGCGTAAATGTCGCCTCAGAAGAGCCACTTCTCTATGCTGCACACTTGAAAACATGCTCCATCGCAAATGTCAAGTGCTACAAAACACTGAGCAGCGATAAAATAAGGACATCAAAGCCCATGAGGGGACATGTCATGAAAAGATGAGAAGGACAGGGATAAAAAGGTAGAACAAGCTTGAGAAATAGACAACTTGAGAAGACCTAGGAGAGAGAAAGAAGAGTGTAGAAACGGGGAGAAAACATGACACTTACTTGACATGATAGATTTTCATCTTCTCCCATTGAGTCCTCCAAGACATGATGGGGCTCCGTCTGTCATGTGAGAGAAAAGTGAATATGGTCATTCAGTGTCTCATGAAGCGTTGCAGACAGAGCACACAATATCATGTGTTCAAGGTCTGAAGTGCACCGAAAACAGTCACACATATTCAGATCTTTGAGTAACGGTATAATGCCTGGTCCACATTGGGATTTGTTTTGCCCAAAAACCTGACAATTTAAACAGCTTGATAAAATCAGACCAGCGCAAAATAACAACAGCTTTTGCTTCTTTTTTTTTTTAAACCTGCGTTTTATGCACAGTTTATGTTCAGTAGTAAAAAGCACTGGTGATGTTAAAAACCATTGGTTATTTTAATTGAACTCAAAATGAATTAGAACACTAAATTAATACATGAAACAATAAAAAAAATAACTTTGACGATGAATTCAGGGATCGTATAATATCATAATGTTCAGTAAAGCAATTTTATAAATACAGTACTCAGCATTACTGAGTACACCCCATATTGAAAATGAATATTTGTATCCATTTCTCAGTGAATATAGGCAATGTATTTTGATGCATTTAAACAAAACTATTTATTAAACAGATATATTTATTAAAATAACATTTTAGTCACCAAACATCTTTAGAAATTAAAAGATAATACAATTAAATGCATGCAAAATAATGCAAAAAAACATGCATTTGAATTACTCATTTTTGGATCATTGTTGTAAGTTACTTTGTTAGATAAACTCCAGATTTAGCTTCAGTACTGACTAATCTAATGTAAATGCCAAATATATTATTGTGTAGCTTCCTATTAATGCAATGTATTTTTTATTTAATGCCATGTCAGCAACCGGGGCTATTTTCATGGCAGGAACCTTTCAATAATAAATATACAATTTGAAAATCAACCAACAAATGAATATATAAATTAAATAAGATTTTTAGTGTTGGTGCATGATAAACATGCTAAAATCTCTTTTGGTTTCACTTTGTTCAAAATATCCAAAAAAGAGTTCATTTCATAAAATCAGTAAAAGCAGGACAGTCCAGTAAAATGTGTTTTATAGTAAGGGAAGTTTTGCAGCACAAACACTGAGTAGGGTTTTCACCTTGGAGCTGTAGCTTCTCATTAAAAATATGAGAGGCGTGTACTTATATATGCTGAGCACTATATATATATATATACACACACACAGACAGACAGACAGACAGACAGACAGACAGACAGACAGACAGACAGACAGACAGATAGATAGATAGATAGATAGTCCTTTTTGTTTTTGTTTTAACATTGCGTTTTAAAAATAAAAATTATTCCCATCTTATTTGCCATTTCATTGGTTATTTTATTTCATAACCAAATTAGAACATTTCATTAATTAATTAATACATGTAGGCCTGTCATATCTATTTGTTGTCGTTTGATATATTGCACCAAATACAGTTGAAACCAGAAGTTTACATACATTGTATAAATAGGCGCATAACCATTTAACAAAAAGTCAGATGTTAATGTGACTAAACTTTATCTTTTTTAGGTAAGTTAGGACTATCAAATTTGTTTCTGTTATGCTTAATGGCAAAATCACTAGAGAGAGATTTTTAGAGAAATTGTTTTAACTTTTCTTGAAAGTCAAGTTTACATACAATAAGATTAATATGCGTCTGAAAAAGCTCAGATGATAATGTCAAGGTTTTGAAAGTTTCTGATTGGCTCATTGACAACTGTAGAATAGTATTTAAGGAAAACCTCAAACACACTGCTTCCTTGTGTGGCAACATGGAAAAATCAACAAGCCTGAATCAACAACAACAAAAAAAAGCCAGATAACAATTTGCTAAATTACACAAGAAAAAAAGAATAATTTTTGGAGACATGTCCTGTGGTCTGGTGGAACTGAGATTGAACTGTTTGGCCATAATGACCAGTGTTACATTTGGAGGACAAAGGGAAAAGCTTACAAGCCTAGGAACACCATCCCAACTGTGCATCATGTTGTGGGGCTGTTTTGCTGCAGGAAGGACTGGTCCACTTCACAGAATAGATGGCATCATGAAGAAAGAACATTATGTAGAAATACTGAAGCAACATCTCAAGACATCAGCCAGGAAACTAAAACATGACCACAAATGGGTCTTTTTACACAGACCATGACCCTTAGCATACTGGCAAATTACTTAAAATGTGATTTAAGGAAAACAAAGTGAATGTTTTGGAGTGGTCATCACAAAGCCCTGATCTCAATCCTATAGAAAATTTGTGGACATAGTTAAAAAAGCTTGTGCAAGCAAGACAGCCTACAAATCTGACTCAGTTACACCAATTCTTTCAGGATGAATGGGCCAAAATTCCTTCAAACTATTGTGAGAAGCGTGTGGAAGGATACCCAAAACATTTGACCAATATTATAAAGTTTAAAAGCAAAGCTAAAAAAACAAAACAAGAAAATGTATGTAAACTTGTCTAGAAATTGATAAAAAACTTATCTAAAAAAATAATTCTTTCATTATTCTGGCATTTAATGTAAATCATTTAGGTAGTCCTAATGGACCTAAAATAGTACACGTTTAGTACGATTTACCATCAGACATGTTTTTTTAAAAATGGTTATGTTCCTTTTTTTGAGTGTATGTAAACTTCTGGTTCCAACTGTATATTGCAATAAACAATATTATTGTTTTAGGTTTTAAGTGAACGTGCAATATTATCAAAAGCACAGAGCTTCCCGTTCTTATACGTAAAAAGGCCTAAATACAGTTTATACACTTCTGTATATATTTTAGCTGTTGTGACCCCACACATCATTTACCTCTAAGTGTTGTAGCGAAGCTGTATGTATAACCTGGATGTGTAACCTGGGAGCGCATATGTGTCTTCCTCTACTTGTAAACTTGTGAACAAACACTTGTGATTGGTTCATGAGATCGGCTAGATCAGCGAGTACCGAGCGAGTCATTAAATTCGATTATCGGCCAGTACCAATCTCTGGCCGATTGATTGGAGCATCCCTAATGGGCGATATACATCCATAAGTCATGTCCATGTGTTGTGCAATAGTATGGTTTCTTTACTTGTGCATCCCAGCCAGCAGCCCATCTGAAAAAAACGTTTAGCATTGTGGGTAATGTGGTCATTCAACTTCACAATTTGTAATGTTGCAATATGTATTTGAATATTGATGGTTAGTTCCTTTACTTGAAAGCTCATATTTGATGATCATAATTTGTGTTGTTGACAGAGTTTGAGCTTTACTGTATCATTATTACTGACACCTTATAGACGTTGATCTACCTTTCCAATTGCACACACTTTATAACATTTTATTTTTCAAGTTTAAGAGTCTCTTTAACATGTATGTTTATTTAATTATAAAGAGATCAGATATTTTGTTTAATTATTTTTGTTTTTGATTATTAAAACTGTTTTCCTTAGTAATGTTGGTAAATTAAAATAAAGTGGTTAAAAAAATCCTAATATTCCTAAATATATTGTATAAAAATTCATTAATTCATTTTCTTGTCGGCTTAGTCCTTTATTAATCCGGGGTCGCCACAGCGGAATGAACCGCCAACTTATCCAGCTAGTTTTTACACAGCGGATGCCCTTCCAGCCGCAACCCATCTCTGGGAAGCATCCAAACACACATCATACACTACGGACAATTTAGCCTACCCAATTCACCTGTACCGCATGTCTTTGGACTGTGGGGGAAACCGGAGCACACGGAGGAAACCCACGCGAAGGCAGGGAGAACATGCAAACTCCACACAGAAAAGCCAACTGAGCCGAGGTTCAAACCAGCGACCTTCTCGCTGTGAGGCGACAGCTAGTTAAAAAATATTTAATATTATTTATTGAAATAGAATGATATGAAACATTATATTGTGATAATTGTTTTTGCAATATCCCCCAGCCCTACTTATTATATTGCAATAAATCCAGAAATCTATTACATCAGTCAATAGCAATTATGGATGCCATACAGTAGAAAATAGAGTTAAAGGATATAAAAAATAAAAAAACCCAATAGTGTAAACACACAAGTTCAAACAAGTGTAAGCACACAAGTTGTACATATACTTGCATTTTTAAATTCAAAATGATTCCCATCTTGGTGTTACATACAGTTGAAGTAATTGTTAGTCACCCTAAATTATTTGCCCCGTTTATTTTTTTCCCCAATTTCTGTTTAACGGAGAAGATTTTTTCAACACATTTCTGAACATAATAGTTTTAATAACTCATCTCTAATAACTGATTTATTTTATCTTTGCCATGATGACAGCAAATAATATTTGACTGGATATTTTTCAAGACACTTCTATACAGCTTAAAGTGACATTTAAAGGCTTAACTAGGTTAATTAGTTAACTAGGCAGGTTAGGGGAATTAGGCAAGTTATTGTATAATGATGGTTTGTTCTGTATACTTTTGAAAAAATATATAGCCTAAAGGGGCTAATAATACTGACCTTAAAATAGTTTTTAAAAAAATTAAAAACTGCTTTTATTCTAGCTGAAATAAAACAAATAAGACTTTCTCCATAAGAAAAAAATATTATCAGACATACTGTGAACATTTCCCTACTCTGTTAAACATCATTTGGGAAATATTTTAAAAATAAAAAAAATTTAAAAATCGAATAATTCGGAATTCAACTATATATCATGCATCCACAAACCAGTACTAAGATGGCAAACTTAGCCAAATATTCATAGAAATTTAACCTAGTACCTCTAAAGCAAGTAGTGCAGCTGTCAGTCAATCTGTTTGGAGTTCGTACATTTCTCATCACTTTGTTTCTTGAAAAATGAATCATCAGACGGTCATCGAACTGACTGTGGGCGGTCTGTAGGCCGTCCGTCTGAGGCTGAGACTACAATGAACATTACAATCTCTGTGCGGATCAGTTTCTAAGCGATACAAAGCCTTGATTACTACAGCAGACGTTCACTCATGCCAATATGAGCGTCTGCTCCTCTGCACCAAATGACAGTGGTGGAACGTCTTGTTAAACCGGGCCTGCATGCTGTCATTGACTGTTTAGGGTTAATTAGTCAGGGTGGCGACTCAGACCGCCCAATCTGTCATTGCGAGGGAGCGAAACTGAAGGATGGCCTGTGATCATCTGCTAGCTGGAAGGGAACACTTTGTTATCTGCCTCTCTGTTCTGCTATTCTCCTTTACAATATGTTCCTGGCAGCTTTACGGCAGGCTTTTATTACTTGCGGATCAATGGGGCTGTAGCTGTAACTTCTGGAAAAATAGTGAGAGTAGAGTGGAGTGAAGTGAACAGGAGTTTTTCGAAACATACTGGATTAACCTGTGATCATTTGCATGCACGTCACATCCTTTGGAAATCAGCATGCGAAATGTTACAATAAGGGGCATTGAATTTTTAGGAAAACCGCAGAGAGGACAAATGTCTTATGGCTGCAGTACATAAAGGTAAAAAGAGATAGTTAATGAAAATATACTCACTATTTTCTCGCCATCAAGTAGTTCCAAACCTTTATAAGTTTCTTTATTTTGTTGAAAACAAATGAAGATGTTTTGAAGAATGCTGAAAACATGTAACCATTGACTTCCATAGTAAAGACAAGTCAATAGTTACAGGTTTCCACTAACTCACAAGGTGATTTATCAGGGGGTCGCCACAATGGAATGAACCACTAATTCCTTGGGCGTATTTTTCATCCCTGCCAGACAAAACCCAGGTCTGGGAAACACCCATACACTCTCTCATTCACAGACACGACAGCCAATTTCGTTTTTAAAGGTTTCCAGCTTTTTCCAACAGAAGACAGAAAGACAAAAAGATTTGGAGCAAGTAAAATGTAAGCAAACAGGCCCTAAACCAAGGTGGGGTTCGGGTGGTTTGAATAACCAACCCCCTGTCAAAAAAGCCCAGGATTAAGCCCCTATTTGAACTCATTTGTCTTCTTTTGACAGTATGCCATCATAATTTGTGAAAATAACCAATAGAAGATGGCTTTAAGACAAATTGAATTATTATTATTTAAATGGACAAATCCATTTAAATGAGTTGGCCAGTGTGTTATTTGCCTATAGGCTACAGTTTTTGATTTAACACAAGTTTCAACAGATGCCTAATTATTTTTTGTTAGTTTTTTAATGATAGATTATAATAAATGATTTTTTTAATTGTTAAAATTTATTTTTTTATATTTCTAAAATGTTATTCTCATATCATTTATAAAATGATAATAACTTACAGTTTAAATGCACATTTGTTTATAAACATAATTTTTTGTAAACATAAAAAAGTATGGTAAACATTTTGACAAAAATGTAGGAAATATTATTGTTACATCGAAAAATGTAGTAATTTAAACCATCAGACGCTAATAGCCGAGTGGTTAAGTGCGGCGACATATACAGTATAGGGCCATGCTGCTCATGGCTACCCCAGCCAGATCTTATGAGAAAACTTAAGTATTTTACATTTTGTCAGTTTAATAGCTAATTCATACAAATTCGTATGAGTTCAGTCGTATAAAAATGTATGATTTTAAAAAGGAGGTGTGGCACCCAACCCCACCCCTAAACCAATAGTCATTGGGTGATGATGAGCAAATCATACTAAATTGTACGAATTAGACCGTACAAGTTCAAACGAATCGGCCACTAAATCAAAATGTTACGAATTGCAGTGAGATTGCGTTGGCTACCCAATTTCGATTCCTGACAGGAGGACCTGTGCCCATCCTTCCCCTCTTTCTGCTCCCAATGCTTTCCTGTATGTCCTCCACTATATCCACTGTTTTAAAAGTTGAAATTACCTTTAAAAAAACTATTCGACAAGCAAATCCAGCAAAAAAATTGGTGCTTAAGATGTCACTAAAAAGCAGTATTTAAACCTCATAATTCAATAGAAAATGAGGCGAATAACAGCAAAAAGGTCCACTTTTGGAGAAAAAAGAACCAGAACTTTTAATAGGCTGGCTACGGGCCTGGTAAATGAATTTTCAGTTTTGGGTGAACTATCCATTTAAACCTTTGTTATAGGTAAATAAATTTGAATTCAGACAAAATAAAAAAATAAATAAATAAATAAATAAAAAAAGACTCTGATTTTAATTCTGTCCCAGATTTTAACATTGATTACTTAATAAGTAGTAAGTAAGTAAGTAAGTAATGTGTATTCATATAGCGCATTTATCATGTATGGCCATACTGTATGGCCTGCTTAGCTACAGTGTGTAACCAGTCTTGAGCTGCAGGGTGATATGGCTGTGTATTTAGCATAGGAAATATTTCTCTGTACTGTCCTGTTCCTAATTAGTATTGGTTTGTTATAATTGTATTCACTTTTTACAATTAACCGATTCAAATATATGACATGAACAGACATTAAGAGTTTCTGTTTATTTTTTTAAGGAAAAACAGTTCTTAAGAACTTCGTCATAGCACAATGCACATCGAGATAAGGAGATTTTTAGCAGTACATTGTCATTGACCATCATCTCCTTTTGTGCTCAACCAAGCACCAAAAAAGTCAAACAGGTTTGGAAACACATGAGGGTGACTAATGATGGTAGATTTTTATTTTATTTTCACATTCTGAATTATATAACAGTTCACTTTGGAACTCTTCTGAATGATCCTGTATCCAAAGACATTAACTTTAGCGAAAAATAAAACATTTGGTTGACAAAATATTTGGTTGACATAACATTACTTCATCATTCAGCATAACAGTTGTTTTAAGTTCAAATGAAACATTCTGACCTGATACATAGAAGTGATTAAATAAATTTAGATCCATTTTGATTTTAAATCACTAAACACTTCTTGAGTAAAACCTATAGCTTTATAGGATAGTGGCAAAATAGCTCAGCATTTACAAGTCAATCATTTAAATTAATATTTTTGATAGAAAGCCATACATTATTATATTTGTGCATATACATTAGATTAGTCGTTACATTAGAAGCCAAATCTGGAGCTTATCTAACAAAATAACTTACGATAACAGTCCAAAAACTAGTACACCCAAATTTATGTTATAGAAAAATATTAAATACAAATGCAAAAATAAATAGTTTTTTTTTAATTTGGTTGACATTTTGTAGGTTGTAATTTCTTTTTTCTTTTTTGCAATAATTTGTTTGCTTTAATTGTGCTTTATTTCAATTTCTAAACATGTTTGATGACTAAAATATTATTTTGATAAATATATCCGTTTAATAAATCTGATTTGTTTAAATGCACCAAAATTTATTGGAAATGGATACAAATATCCCATTTTTAAAATGGGCTGTACTTAAGTATGCTGAGCACTGTATTTATTTAAAATGACTTGTCATCAGATTTTCTTGCCATCTACTATAAACTATTGTTACACAATTACTTTTTAAAGGGTTTCTGTATGACAATTTATGGCAGTTTCTTCCTTCTTTAGTTCAAAAAAATATTTTAAAGTTCAGTGTTAACTAAATTTACATTTCTCGGTGACAAAGCAAAGATTCATTCTAAAGATGAACAGATTCATCACCACCAAACTGTCATCATCAGCACGAATCAGATTGAGATCCACGAACATTACGTTGTAGTCTCATTCATCAAAACTTTAAAGTCCATTAACAAAACATATCATACAATATGAATTCGCATGCTACTTCCAAAGTAACTACAAGTCAAAAAATGTGAAAGGCCTTTGACATGCGGATCGTTTTAAAAGCATTTACGCGCACGGGTCACACGCTATAACCGCTAATCCCCAACATCGGATATACAGATAGAGATCTGGAACAGGTTGTACACAAACGCCACACAGAAACGAAACGGCGTCAAAAACAGAAGTGCTGCTTATATTATGAACATGTCAGCGATTTAAACCTGTGAATGCAGCGGAGACTCACCTCGCTCGCCGCACTCCCGATTGCCATCTTTCTCCAAGGGTCAACTAGTTGTGCCAGGGGCATCTTCACTTTTTGCAAGGCTCCTTTTTTAAATAAATCAGACTCAAAAGGGAAATTCTGAGGCACTTTGAAGAAATTACGTCTGGTTGTTTCCGCGCTTTTGACACTGAGTGAAGAAAGCTGGGTATCCGTTGCGCATCCAAAAGCGCCGCCACCTTTTCCTCCGCTCACCTCTGCCAGTCAGTGCAGCGTTTCCATAGGAATAAAATGACCGTGCCCCTGATCTCGTGCCAGTCGCCCTCTCTCTCTCGCTCTCTCCCCTCTGACAGAAAAAACACACGTTCACGCGCTCTACTCACTTCCGCTTCTTCCAGTGTGACGAATCGGATTGGCTATTGCGCTTGTCACTTATTGACAGAAGGGCGGGGCTGAAGCTGTGGCGCTCAAATAGACGGACAGGTGAGAGCGCAATGCATCCTTTACCTCCTCCACCTGTGTTTGAGACTAAATGTACGTATTTAAATAATAATCACGTTTATTTACTATAATCTCTTTTCTGTATATTTGTAATACGGATAACTTTTTTAAGAAAACTGTAGCCTACCATATTTATTCATTAATATGTTGTATTTTGAGAGGATTTTATGACCACTAGATGATATAGGCCTATATCTCGTAATTATATACCATTTCAGTGTGGTCATGTCATTGGCCCATGAACATTTCCTTCTTGTTAGAACTATTTTATAACTGTAACAAGAGGCATTTCAATAACTTAATGTTAAAACAGCTATCATAGCATTATTTATCAATATGTGGCTTATTTTGGATTCTCAGAAGCTATAGAAAATAAAAATGTAAAGCAGGAAATATGTTGGGACCATTGTTTTTGTTTACATCCCTCTGCACAAATAGAGTTGTTCTAAGTAGAGTTTACTCCACTGCATATCAACCTATGTTTTTGGGGGTAACGTTCATTCATTTATTTACTTTTCTGCTTAGTCCCTTTACTAATCATGGGTCGCCACAGTAGAATGAACCGCCGACTTATCCAGCATATGTTTTACACAGCGGATGCCCTTCAAGCCACAACCTAACACCGGGAAACACCCATACACTCTAGCATTCACTCGAACCAGTGACCTTCTTGCTGTGAGGCGATTGTGCTACCCACTGCACCACCGTGACGTCCCTTGTGGTAACATATTTAGCCTATATAAAAATAAATTCTTACACAGTATTATACTTTATCTGAAACTAGTAGTAAATCTGGTCAGCAATAGCACTATTTTACATATTCAGACTTTAATTTTGGACACAAAATATTAACTTCTTGTCCATATGCAAACATAAATGAAAAATAATTAATAGTTATTTTTAATGTTAATTTCACTGCATTTTTTCCATGTACACCGAAACCAACAATGGGCACACTTAAATATTAGGCTACGTGTAGTAAATGTTGTTAGTCAGTGTCTAGACTGATGCATCATAACCCATCATCACTTTTGGGTAACATCATATGACACACATGCACTGGAAAGTACGCAAGAATTTAGGCTGCCTCCAATGAATTGGCATTTATTTTACAGCTGTGATTTGAACATTTTTAAGCAGGTGAAGAGAGGGCGACATCTGCTGGTAAGTCTGATCAATTCTTCAGTTTAAATCAGTAAATTAGGATTTACAGTAGCAAACCAAATTAACAATGGCACAGACAGCCAATTTCAAATTACAGTTCTACATTTTAACCTTAATTAAATCATTTTAGTTCCCATTACATGTTTTTTTAAACTCTGATTTGGACTCAAAAGTCAAACTTTGCTGAATAATTATTATAGCTATATTATGTTTTGTAAATGGTATTTCTGAGCATTCAAAATATCCGGTTTATTTTAACCAAATTTTTCTTGCATATATACTGTTATATATGTTAAGGAACCATTACATTTTGCATGTTTCCAAACATTAGGGATAAAGTACTGTTCCCTTAATGTTCAATAGCAAAAAGAAACAACATTATTTATTTGGTAACATTTTGAGAACATTATTAATATAAACATAAAGTCAACAAAAAAAAGACTCTTAATTGAAGTTCAATTACTGTAATGTTTATTCATAACATTGAGAGAACATTCTGTAAATGTTCCTGTAAGCATAGGTTCTAATGACGGTATTGTTACAAACAGCAATTCATTTAATGTAGAACTAAATATAGTCCAATGAATTCAGTATCCAAAACTTCATATTGAGCATCATATTGCAATATGATGATAAAAAATAACTGTTTATAAATCATTGCTAAGAATTCCATTTAGAGACAAGGACTGAGCTCATTAAAATCTATTTTCAAAATAATCTATTTTTCTAATATTGGAATTAAACATTGATCATTCAACACTATGTGCTTCCAAATATATAAATATAACAGTCTGCAAAGCTAAAAGTACCGGCTGTAAAGGAATGTAATTACGTTTTTATGGATATCAAAATTATCCATCTGTTTGTGCATATAGGATTATGAGAGGAATGAATAGCTGTATCATTAGCATTAATTCTTCAACTGATGGATTTGAGTCTCGTCCAGGGGTTTGTGCCTCTGACCTCTAATGGAGCATCATTGTAGAAGATGTGGTTGCACAAATCTTCCAGCGGCGGCTCTGGATCAGTGGTGGCAAACTGTGCTGCTTCTTCCACTTCCTTACGGATATCTGCATCAATGTCCTGTCATGATTAAAACAACATAATATGGGGATAAGTACAGCAGGTGTTGAACCTCCAGTACTCTTTACTTAGCGGTCACACTTATGATCCTCAAATTGTACCCCCAAAATTAGAAAGATATCTCCCGTTACTTTCTTATGGTGTTTATTAGTTATTTTTACATAAAAAAGAGAAAAAATTATATTATATTACCTAAATATTCAAGTTACAATTAATGCACATGTATTTACTGTATTTTATCCTTAAATATGTATTTTTATTTCTATAGAAATAAAAGAATATATCAAAAATTATAAAATAATACACAAGTTAGATTGTTCTCTGGTTGCATAAATAAGGAACATAATATGAAAAAATAGCCTTATATATACATTAAAGGCTGCATATTTCTTAGTTGCTTAAAGTATATATCTTTAGACACAAGTTTAAAATGTTTTATTTTTCTGTTACTGATTTAAAGCATGATTAATTTCAATATAAAATGTAATAATTTAATTAATTTCAGTGAATAGCCTGCAGTGTTCCAGTTGCAAGTTTTTTAGCATTGAGTAAAGTAAAAATAAAGTAAAAATGAAGCAATGTGAAAATAAAATTCATTCTAAAATAGCCGATGGCCACCAGACTCTTTTGATGAAATGTGTAAAATGCAGAAAATGATGTATCCAGTACCTTGATCTCCTCCAAACTGGCCATGTTGCTGCTAATCATGCGGTCTTTGAGCGTTGTGATGGGATCACTCTTACTGCGAACTTCCTGGATCTCCTCACGTGTGCGATAACTAATACAAGAAAAGCACTGATTAAAGGTACATTAAATAGTAAGCTCAGTGAAATAATTTGCTCACTACCTAAAACTAAACATATAATGTTGGAGTCAATTAGTTGAGGTTTGGGTTTTAAAAGAGGGCCTGCAGCGGGGTGGGGAAAGGCTGATGGTCAACCTCACCTGACCCCAGGATCGCTCATGCTGTGGCCATGATAACGATATGTCTGCAACTCCATTAATATGGGACCCTAAAGAGCACAGGCCAAACATTTGCCCACCGGTCACCAACCAGATCGCACAAAAACGAATGTTTGGTTAGAAAACTATAGTCTGTGTCTAAATCTATAGCCCCTACTTGACTTGTTAAGCATGTCAATTATGACTTTTTTTTTTACCTTTCCAGATCTGCAATAATCTGCTGCAAACTTGGTTGCTTCTCTGACACCAAGAACATCCATACCATCAACCTGGCGAAAATATAAAGAAAAGGTTTGATTTACTTCACCAGTCAATGATTAAATTAATAAAAAAAATTGAATTAATAAAAAAAACTAAAACAGTCAAAATATTACAATTTGAAATATAATTTCAATTGACTTGTTGGCTGAGCTGAATTTTCAGCATTATTACTTCTTACACCTTCTTCAATGCCATATGATCTTTCAGAAATCAGGTCTTAGCTACTATTGGTTTTCAGTTTAACAATTTTTTCTTAATCACGTTGTTAGCAAGAAATTAAAATTGTTAAAAGTTTTTGCTGCTTAATTTTTTTGATGAAACATTTATGACACTTTTTTCAAAGAAATCTTGAAAATAAATACCTTTTGATAATTATTTACTGTCATTTTTGATACATTTAACTAAAACTGAATTAGTTTCAGAATGTTTTTTTTAAATATCAACTTTCTATTTACCTGCATACTTACCTGCAACTGTTTTCAACATTCATATTAATAATAGAAGTTTATTGAGCACCAGATTAGAATTACAATGATTTCTGAAGGATCATTTTAATCAAAATTCAGATTAAAATCACAGCAAAAACACATTATATAATATATTAGAGTAGAAAATGTATTTAAATTGTAATAATGCTTCACAATATTTTTGTTTGACTATATTTCAACTTAAAAATCTTTAGGGGAGTGTAGTTGTTTATATGTGTTTGCATGCACTGGTTAATAAAAATAGAGTTGTGATGCAGCAACAACAACAAACACACACACACACAAAAAAATTCTGAGGAAATCACCCTCAATCCAGGAATGAAGTCTCCTCTTTTGTAGTAGTCTGTGCTGGCAGAGGCTCGTTCCACTGATGTCCCCATGCCATATTTATTATTCTCACAAATGAAAATGCAGGGGAGTTTCCACAAAGCTGCCATGTTAAACGACTCGAAGATCTGACCCTGATAAGCAGATGAATCAGATAAGATGTTATTTTACAACAGTAGATCGCATGCAAACCTGTGAGTGCATGGTGAAAATGTTGCTTTCACCTGATTGGCAGCTCCATCTCCGTACAGAGTGACACAAATCTCATTCTTCCCCTGATACTGACATGCCAGCGCCACACCTGCCCCGAGAGGAACCTTCAAAACAGACTCATTACATTGCAATAAGCTTTGATCATGTTTTTGTGTTTGTTTAATTAGCTCTAATTTGTGTATCTCACCTGGGCACCAACAATACCATTACCGCCATAGAAATTCTTGGCATACATGTGCATAGAGCCGCCCTTGCCTTTAGCAACACCACCCCTTCTGCCTGAAATAGACACAGTTACATGTTTACACATTTTCTTTTTTGCTTACATAAGACATTTTCTCTCAGCTGTAAATTATGAAAACCTTACATTTAAAAATCAATGACAAGGCACTAAGTATACATTTGAGGACAGATCAATAAATGTAATATTTTTAATGTAAGTTCTTTTACTAATCAATGCTGCATTTATTTGAGCAAAAATGCAGTACATATGAAAACTTCATGCTTTAACATATTTTAATGGTTATTTGTGACAGCTGTAATTTTTTGGAAAGCCATTACGTCAGTGTCATCTGATCCTGTGAAAACAGAAATATGCTGATTTCGTGTTCAAGAAATTTTCCTGGAAACTGTGATAATTTTAGATTTTGAAATGAATAGAACGTTTATCCTCTACGTACAGTTGAAGTCAGAATTATTTGCCCCTATTTATTTTTTCCCCCCAATTTCTGTTTAACGGAGAGAAGATTTTTTTTCAACACATTTCTAAACATAATAGTTTTAATAACTCATCTCTAATAACTGATTTATTTTATCTTTGCCATGATGACAGTAAATAATATTTGACTAGATATTTTTCAAGACACTTCTATACAGCTTAAAGTGACATTTAAAGGCTTAACTAGGTTAATTAGGTTAACTAGGCAGGTTAGGGTAATTAGGCAAGTTATTGTATAACAATGGTTTGTATCGCACAGCTATCAGCCAATCAGATTTGAGAACCAGACAGAACTGTTGTATATATATATATATATATATATATATATATATATATATATATATATATATATATATATATATATATATATATATAACAATAATGTTATATATATATTATATATAACATTTTTTATACATAAAATATCATTTTTGTATTGTGTACTTCCTTGCCATTATTACACAAAACCTTTCTTTCATCTCATCGCTTTCAGTTCAGATAAATTATGTAAAATATGGCATCATGGTGCTGACATGTGATGTAGGAAACTCATCTGTAAGATAAACTGTACAATTGTTCTTTTAATGGTGCTGAATGGCTGAAGTGTCCACCTGTGAGCTCTGCCATGATCTCCTTCACAGACACTCCTCTGGTGTAGGTGTAACCATGAGCCCTGTATGCTGTGATCAGGTGATCTGTGGGCTTGATACCAGCCTCAATGCCAACAGCACAAGCCTCCTGAGAAAAAGAAACAAAGAAAGAGAGAGAGAGAGAGAGAGAGAGAGAGAGAGAGAGAGAGAGAGAGAGAACCAATCATTTGAGAGTGAATGTTTACAGTATGTGTGTGAACACCAGTTACCCACATCTAGTGCACTTTACACATATGAGTAGCTTTTGTTTTGTTCTTCCATCAAATATTAAATATGAAAACTTGAATATGAAACTTATTATAATTAACATAATACTTACAGCAATCCACTTGAAACGAGTTTTTCCAACAACAAATTTACTGTAAGAAATATACGATTGATCTTGAAAATGATCTGGTGGAAACAAACATGAACTCAAAAGAGCCACAGATATGCATGTGGTATTAATGTAGGGCCGCACAATATTGGTAAAACGGACATTTTGGGATCATTTAATTTTCTGAAATACATATTACGATAATTTCACAAGATGGCTTGACATAGTGGCTCACACATAAGGTTGCTGGTTCGAGTCCCAGCTTGGTCAGTTGCCATTTCTGTGTGGAGTTTGCATGTTCTCCCCGTATTTGCGTGAGCTTCCTCTGGGTGCTCCGGTTTCCCCCATGGTCCAAAGACATGCGGTACAGGTGAATTGAATAAAACTAAATTGGCCGTAGTGTATGTGTGTGAATGTAAGAGTGTATGGGTGTTTTCCAGTACTAGGTTGCAGCTGAAAGGGCATCCGCTGTATAAAACATATGCTGGATAAGTTGGCGGTTCATTCCGCTTTGGCGACCCCTGATGAATAAAGGGACTAAGCCGAAGAAAATGAATAAATGAACCTTGTAAAATAACAATGTACCATAATATACAACACCAACCCAAAGAATATGTCACTTTAAACTATTTAATATGTGAATAAAAGTCACTTTTTCCAACTTTCTAAGGTTATTGTAATATAATCTTATATGCAATTTTATAACATTCATTTATTCATTTATTTTCTTGTCGGCTCAGTCCCTTAATTAATCCGGGGTTGCCACAAGGGAATGAACCGCCAACTTATCGAGCAAGTTTTTATGCAGTGGATGCCCTTCCAGCCGCAACCCATCTCTGGGAAAAATATTGTAACAAATATTTTGTAATAGTAACTTTCCCCAGCACTGTGTGTAGCTAACCTTATTGTAATTTTTTTTGTCCCAGTTAGTCTGAATAGAAGTTGCTCAAACAGAAAGTGCCACCTATAACTGGTTGCAGAAAAAAAACATTTTTTCACCTGGCCATCATACAGGTGACAGAATCCTCGTATGATCTTCTGCTTGTAAAGCTGATCTGCCTTCAGCTCCATGCGTCTCATGGTCTGCATCATGCGATAGTACTTGAGTCCATCCTCTCTGGTGAGCACCGTCTGCACCGATGGGCCTTCGTCCAAACGATGAAGGTCACACCTCTGAATTCAAATTCATCTTTATTTCTACAGCACTTTTTACAATGTAGATTGTGTCAAAGCAGTTTAACTCAGATCTAGTAAAGTTGAAGCTCCTCTAGTAAATTGAAACTGCTGCAGTCCAGTTTTCACAATTGAAGTTTAGTTTAGCTCAGCTTTTTCTCAAATGCAAAAAAATAAAATAAAATCATGCACTGATCTATATAGAATGAATCTATATTATAGACCGGTGGTTTGATATAACATGCCAACTTTACCTTTATGTCAAAGTTAGCCTGAGGTGTGAAGTCGGCAAATGAACGTGATGATACCACCACTCTGGAGCCCTGGAGAAGAACAGAGCAGTAAAAACTATGCAAAAGCATTCAAAAACAAATCAGCTTTTAAAAAGTTAAAGTCATTTTTCATATACATTTGCAAGTTTGTATAATATCTGGAAAAAATGCAATAAAAATATTGAAAATAAAATGTTAAAGTCAGTGCGAATCAGGAGTTGCTGAGACTTTTATTTCAGTATGTTAATGTACTTCCAACTGAAATGGAATAGGGAACTTGTTGCACAACATTCCAGACTTCGATTGAACGTTACCAAAACATTTTTTTTTTCAGTTTATCACACTAGAGTTTGAGCATGTGAAATTCTGTTGTACGGCTCAGCGAAAAGGGGCGGGATTAAACAAGATGATTAGACATTTTAAAAAATAAGCGATTGGTTGATGTTTTTATTTCTGTCCAGAGAGGTCATGTTTTGATCCTCGA